CCCACAGCGCCCCCTAGCGCCGCCTCCCAGCCCCGCGCCGCCGCCACGGCCCCCAAGGCCACCGCCCGCAGCGCCCCCTAGCGCCGCCTCAAACCCCCGCACTGAATCCTTGTCCGCAGCGCTCCCTCCCAAGGGCCAACCCCACAGATCCCCTGCACCTCCCAGCCATGGCCCATGTGAATATGCAAGTCCCAGCTCCTGCCCTGCCTCGCCAGAGCCAGCCCACTGCAGATCTTTCTGTTGCATCTGCCCCGTGGACCCTTCCCTTTGTCTCTTCTCTTGTGCCCTTCCCACCCCCGCACTGAATCCTTGTCCGCAGCGCTCCCTCCCAAGGGCCAACCCCACAGATCCCCTGCACCTCCCAGCCATGGCCCATGTGAATATGCAAGTCCCAGCTCCTGCCCTGCCTCGCCAGAGCCAGCCCACTGCAGATCTTTCTGTTGCATCTGCCCCGTGGACCCTTCCCTTTGTCTCTTCTCTTGTGCCCTTCCCCCTAGATTTGAGCCTTTCCGATTACAGGTCTGAAGGAGGAGTCCTTAAGCCTAGGACCCTTCCCTGTCCTTTCCACCTCCAGCTGGAATGTTCCTGCAGAGTATAAATGTAACAGCAAAGTTTTGTGAGGAATCTGGTTTTACAGGTGAGAGAGGCAAAGTCCTTCCAGAGACTTAGTGGCACGGCAGATCCTGGCAGAACAGTGCCATACACCTACAAAATGCAACTTTTAATATCCTGCACCAAGTTCAGCTTCCAGCTGGATATAAAAAGCAGCCCTAGGCAGAACACAGCACAGAGATCTAGTCTGGTGGTTACAAAGCCATGGCTGAAGAGTCACATTTAAAGGGAACAGCCACAATCTTCATGTCAGAGATGGAAAAAAATTGTTTTGGTTCCTGTGACTGTGTGTTCTTCCAACAGCAGCAATGAACCCAACTATACTTTTACAGTGAGATGCTTAGGTATTCACACTCAGGAAGAGGAGCAGATATCATGCGCACCGTGTTCCTGAGTCTGGCAGATTGAACTTCATCTTGGGATTGCCAGATGGTTTCAGCAAAAATACCGGACATACTTGACATTACATCACACTCTACATTACATCTTATTAAGAAAATACCAGATATTTATATTTTCCCATTTATATTTTCTCAATTTGTTTCCTGAACAGAAAGCTCAAATAGTGGACTGTCTGGTTTAAAACTGGACACCTGGCAACCCTACTTCAGCCAGCTCGCTCTCATCCCACCCCATGTCCTCACTGGACTGCATGAGACAAATACAGAACTGAGTGTCATTAAGGTAGTGAAAACATGGCAACCTATGTCTGCTGAGTAGCCCTCTCAGGCGTACCATATACACGCTGAACAGGGAAGGGGACAAGATGCAACCCTGTGGAACTAGTAGAAGCAAGTGACCCAAACAACTGTCTGGGACCACTCAAGAAACACTCAACAGCAGCCATTTCCATTCCACTTCTACTTCCATCACCTGAGAGTAAGCAACACAATGACAATTGATATCAAAGGAGGTGATAGATCTAATAATATCAGAATCTGCTGGGGGGATAGATTGTAACAGGCTAGCTTATTCCCTCCCATCGCACTGGAGAGATAGGGACTAGGCTAACCTGATTATAGCATGAGCTCCACCTGAGGGGAATTAGGCATATCCCTATAAAGAGTGGAAGGTAGGTTTAGTAAAGAAAGGAATGTTAGGCATAAGTAGTGATAAAGCTCATCTGGAACAGCAACTCAGTAGGAGGCTTAGAGTCTGCAAGGAAAGCTTCAGGCAGGGAAGTCTGTGAGACAGACTCTTTAAGGGGAAGACATGCAGAGACCAGGAGAGGAACTTAAGTGGCTGGGTCAGAAGTGGCATGGGAAAAATTGCAGCAATGGTAAAGAAACAGATCTAGGGTATGTCTACATTGTAACATCTATAAACCCAAATAACATGCAAAGATGAAGCTGGAGGAAAACAAGAAATAAGATGGTGATACTGTTTTAAGCTTATTGCTATAAATCTTTATTACAGGAAGTTATTTATAGGATATTAAGCAAATGTGAAATCAGAAAACTGGAACAGTGTAGAAAATGTCACCAAAGTAAAGAATCCAATGACTAAAATGAAAACATGTTTTATATTTCTCTTTAAAAGTAAACTGAATAAAGTCTTCCAAAATACTATGTAGGGACAATCATTTGCTGGTTTTAGGGACTGGAGAAGGGGAGGGGGAGAAAATACTTAATAGACCATCCCCATCCCTGTATGAGAGTCACGGCTGTAGTGATGCTAACATGAATATTCAACAACTTTTCAAAGGCTCTATAATAATCCAAGACCAGTTTGAAGTTGGTGCAGTTTTGATTTTTTCTTATTTTCATATTTGAGGGTGGTTCAAAGTTGCACCACTTGTTCTCAACTGTTGGTAATGTCAGAATTGCTTAAATGTCTGTAGGCTTCCTAGGTGACATGTGAACTTATGAGTTCTTCCTTTGTAACGTTGGGGTCTTTCCCCAAGAGACAGTGCTGTGAGAGACTTTTTAGCCAGACATGTTACAGTGTTGCTGTGACAATGTCTAAGTTTTCTGCATAATAAAGGAAAAATCCTCATATAAACACTAGCCCAGTGTTTCTTAATCTTTTTAAGACCGAGGAACATCAATTTTTTTTTTTTGAGGAACCCCAAGGATTTTTTGTTAAGCAAAAAAAAGAAAGCC